CACAAGTTCAACTGGAGGCCTAGAGCCCACAACAAAGTCTCACGCAGGCCTGCTTTTCGGATCTGCTCTGGAAAGGTCCAAAGGTCAGTGGTGGAAGCTACGGGATGAAGGAGCTGTGCTAGTAGGCTGAGGAATCTGAACTGGAGCCAGGAAACAACACTCAAGGTAAGAACCAGAGATCCCCCAAAAGTACCACAGTCATCCTCAGCAACAACGAGGTTCTGAGCTCTTCTGTTGATGAGGAAAGCCGAGTTTCCATCAGGAAAGCCAATGCCACAAGCTTCTCCAGGAAGCTGAATAGTACACCATCTTCTCCTCTGGAGTCAGGAAGCAATGCTAAAGCGAGGACCAGAGCTCCCCCAAAGTGAAACACAGCCATTCTCAGCAACAATGCAGTCCCTAGCTCCTCCTCCAATGAGAACAGCCAAATTCATCAAGAAACCCACCATGAGAAGGTCCTCTAGCAGAATAGCCCAAGAGAACTGGAAGCTTCCAAACAGCTTCTCCCATTCTGTCCTTTCTGTGGCCAGCAACAATCCTCCAATGGGCCTTCCATACCCAGCACCACACTAGTTCCATTCTCTGGGTGTAAGAGGCTGCCCACCAGTTAGTTATCCACTACACTTAGCAAAGATGAAAGCAAGGAGAGAATACGATGACTTACCTGAAGCTGAGATCCCCATCTCTGCTTGCCATCCTGTCCCACAGGCCCTGCAGAGCCATGAATTTGGATTAGGATCACACTGGGCAGAACCTCACAGCCTCTGTGCCTGCCCAGAGCTCCAGAAAGCTCTACCAGCCGGTCCAGGCCGCCACCCCTCAGAATTTGCATCAAAAGGGGAAAAGAAAGTGAAATTGTGCACCAGGACTGTGTGATGTGACTTTAGTCACACTGATGTAGCCCTTCCCAGTCTCTCCACCCAGAGAGGAGCCCAGGCTAGCCCCAAGTGTCCCCAGAGCTATCGGGGGTGGAAGTAGGGGACTTCTTGCTCAAATTGCAGAAATAGACTGGAAAAGTCCATTTGACTCAAATGGCTGGAGGCTGCCTGCACAGCGTACACGGGGAAGAAGCAAAGCCCACATTCGTCCCTTCCCCTGGCATTTCCAGTCTTCTCTCAGGCCTGTGGCTGGCTGAGTGCCTTAGTGAGTCCCAACTGGTGGATTCAGGCCAAGAATTTGGACGCAGGGCATTTTACTACTATAGCTAGTGTGACTGAGAAAAACCAGGCTTCCTCTGTGTCACTGGCCAGGGGCAGACTTCTCAGGGGCCTGGGGCAAGTTTGGAACTGAGATTATCTAAAACTTCTAGGCCAGTGTGAACTAGGTGGCTACATTTGTTTAGATACAATTGGGTTTCTTCTTTGTTGTTTTGTTTTGTTCTTTCACTTATACCTGACCCTTATTTTTTTTT